TTGAGAGGAGTTTGGTAAAAAAAAATGGACACTGATCCAGGCATTCTGTGCTTTCAACACTGTGGACCTGTCAATATATTTTGTTTTGAACTACCCCTCTTCAATGTCCAGTGTGTGGAGCTCCTCTTGCCACTGTCAATTTCCGGTTGCTCCCTTTTCGGTAAATAAAAATATGCTAGTTGTTAAAATAGGCTAGTCGTTAAAATAGGCTAGTTGTTAAAATGGGCTAGTTTTTATGACAAAGGTGAGAAGTGAAAACACCAGAGACCCTTTAGAAAGTCAAACACTTTTTTTGGTACCTATTTTCATGCTATGCAAGCAATCTTTGCCTTTTACTTCACCAAAACAAATAGTGATTCTAGGGGTTTCTTGTTCTTCCATTGCTCTGTTGCTAATTAAATTCCGATCAAACATTTATTCTGATATCCCAATTCTTCCTTAAATTAGTCTTAAATTTCTTTAAAATCTTTTTTTGCAGTGTTCCTTATCCTTTTGTACGAGCAACACAGCACCCATGCTCTATTGTCATAAAGCCCACAACAGGGGACTTTCTCAAGTAAGTTGAAATCTTAATCACCGAAGTCTTAGTTGCCTGTTATCTCGTGGTACTAATCACTTTTATAATTTCCAGTGACTATTTCAATTCAAAAGATCTGCACATAGGTGTAACTGATTCCAAAGGGATGGTTGTGGAGTTTGACCGTGGTGGTCTTCAGTGTGCAGATGCTCAACTTTGGAAACAATGTTTAGTCTTGGACGGAGCAGCAGGCCCATGGAGTGATCACTGGGATGGTACTTTATCAAATGTAGCACAACAAGATTGTTGGACATCTGAGAGGTGCGATAGAGGATTTTATGTTTGAGGGTATTACATATGTGATGTGGCTTTGTTTTCTATCTATTAACATTTGCTTCCTTTTTATCTAGGTACAATGAAGCTGATTTCAACTGTTACACATTTGTATTGTCATTTTTGCGCAGCCTTAGATATGGCCGCCTCAGTGAAGCGGCTGACAACCGCACTGAGTTCTGTGAAAAATTCATTATTCCACGTACAACAGCAGCTGGAAAGTACATTTCCCTGTTCAGAAAGTTAAGACAAAGTCAAAACCAATGTTATGTTTATAAAATGCAGCAATCCACTTTGGGAGCAGGCTCTCCTGTTGCTATCACTGCCAGATGACTGCACTTCTCTAAATGTTATTATAATTTCATTATTTTAAATGCATAGCAT